AACTTGGTCTCTTGGACGCAAGAATTTGGTCCTCGCGGCCAAGCCTCGACGGAGATGCAGGAGCATGCACATCGCCATACGCTGGGCCAGCAATGCTATTGCGGTTGCTGGCAAACGAATTGCCTCGACTTACCCCTGACGGTAACTGTGCACTCCATCTCTTCGAAACACTATCCGATCGCTTCATCATGGCGCTCTGCACAAAGCCTCCAAGACCTTTTGTCGGCGACGTTGAACGTGAACGCTCGGGGGAAAGGCGCCTCGGGGACGGAGGTGTCGCGACCTGTTCTGGTTCGAGTTTTTGGACACTTGAAAGGGGTACGGGAGATCCGAGTCCAGTTGCCGTCGAGACAGAAGATATGCTCGAGTATCGATGTCCCAAACTACTGTCCCCGAAAGTCGAGCTTGCCCTGGATGGGGAACGCGATCTTTCTTCTCCGACTTCCGGTTGTGAGTCCTGCTTCTCATCCCCAGGGGGAACTGCTGGATTCGTTTCAGTGCCTTCGTCGTTTGTGTGGATTGAGCCCTGGCCAGTCTTTTCAGCGTCCGGCTTCTCCTTGGCAATCCCTCTAGTGATTGAGTCGGGAGTTTCCTCCGCTCTTGTTGTCTGACCGGCGGTAGCATCCTTGGAGGAAGGCGAAAGCGTCAGCGGACTGCGCATATTTCTGTGATCATCGTTCGAGAAATTAGACAAGCCACTCAGACGATTGAGACGGGTCGGGGAGCGCGTAGGTGAGGGAGGGAAAAACGATCTGTTGCCGCTCATATCCCGAGACGACGGTCGTTGTTGCCAGGACAGGGTCCCTGCTCTACTGCGCGCAAGAGGTGAAGTAGTAGTTGCTCTCGGTGAGGCTTCCATATCCCTCCCGTCTAGTTTTGACCCTTCCAGATCACCATTCGTACCAATTGACGTGTCGTCTCGAAAGGGGTCGGATCTGGCGCCTGTGGCATGTTCAGGTGTCCGAGGTGTGGGCGAGAGTTGTTCTGGAGGGTCGATCCCACGCTGGCTGAGGGAAGAAATGCTTAACCGAGCGGAATCCAATACTGGGGAGTCCTTTGTTGGCGAAATCGACCGCGCTCGTTCTACACAGGATCGGCAAAGAAGACGAACAAGATCAGCCTTTGATTATTTTAATTATCCGAGGGCTCGGGCAGCCACGGAACGAGACAGCAAAAGCAATAGATGATTGGAATGACTGAGAAGACTAGGGACGCCAAATACCAGCTCTTCGAGCCTGCCTCTCCTTGCGACTCTGCATGATTTCCTCCTCCAACTTCTTGGTCCGTTCCTCGTCCTCCTTATCGCGTTTCTCGCCTAGCTCCCGAATCCGCTGAAGGAAGTCATTGACATCCTCTGAACTGTCTGCATCGGTAGTAACTGTCATGGCACCCTAGGTATGAGAATGCAAAAGTAAAAAGGAAAGGGAAAGGTGACAAAGGAGATTATCAGAAAGAAAAAGCAATAATAACGAGTATAATCGGCCGGGATCACCCAGTAGACTGAACCAGGTTGGTGTGGGGTACTGACAAGAAGAAGCGCAAACGTAATGATCGCAATAGAACAATGGAGGGGAAGGGGATAAAATCAATGTTTATCGAACTGCCTAGGCAGATAGATAGCGGATAGTGTACGAGTAAGGGAGTGGTACTTCCCAGTGTCTCCCACGGCGCATCCCAAGTTATCCCAGGTTGTGGGACGTCACGCTTTTTTAAGTCACTTTACTAGTGTCATATTTGGATCGATATTATTATTATTTTCAGCTGGCCTCACTCGCTCAGCAGGACGCACAAAAACTGTGAGCACACTGCCCCACCGCGTCCTTGCTGAAAATGAGCCCGACACGCTCATCTCTGTCGTCTCCTGACTATCCATCCACACCAACACCCAATCCATGTCTCCCTTTTGGGAAGATTGGCAAGATATTGGAGTCATACAGCAGTGTTGTAAATAGTAGACTAGTACTCCGTACTCATCATTCAGAACTTTAAAGAGGTATCTGATCCCCTGTGTAGCACCAAAATGGCCACTGAAAGGACATAAACGGCTTATCCTTCTTGTTTGCAAGCAGCTTGTTTTGTTTACTGTTTTCCAAGAGTGGCCATGCGGTGGGCCTTCTCTGCCGCCCCGCGACCCAGAAACAGTTGGGAAACCAGCTCTTGATATCTCGGATATTTAGAGAGTCGATAGACGCTAGATAGTTGCCAGATATCTGGGTTTGGGTTTAGTCTAGTCTTCAAAAAACAGAACGAATGTCGTCATAGTCAAGTGTCGTCGACTTATGGAGTTTTGGACGGTCGGCTCAACGTTTGACGCCATAGCATCATAATGGGATGTTGACTCAAATAGTGCCACCCCTTGTGAAAGCCACAAAGTGTTTTAACTTGACTTTACTGACAACTCTGTGCGACGGTCAGCTTGATGATTGCTAGCATCTTTAGAACAACACAATCAGCGATCGAAATTTGTGTTCTTGGACTATGATCGCTTATCGGGCCTTCCTTCAGGCCTCATGTGCAGCCTGATTGTGGAGAGGGAACAGGCTGAGAAGGCGATCGCACTTATTTGAGGAGAATTTTACCCTTTTCTTTGCATGTAGATGAGTGATAATCAGTTGAGTTCAGATAATACGGGACGTGAGAGAGAAAATAACAGAATGAAGACATGGGCTTTCATCAAATATTAAGAAACGACTAAATGGTTGATTGCGTACATATATAGAGCAACGCAGAGTATGTGTCGCTGGATTGAAAAACGACAGACTCATTTCATCTTAGCATTAGTGATATCAATGACTTCTCAAGTGTTGATCTGACTCAAGAAGCATCAACGTAGATCCGTACTGGAGTCGAAAACTCCAGACGCTCAAGCGTACTCGTCAGAAGCGGGTAAAGACAAGGGTCAGTAGAGGAAAAGTCTGTCTTTCGCATCCTGCACTACCCATTGTAAGCCTTCACGGAGATTCTTGCCTGTCATGGCACTGCAGGGCAATATAGTCCATTTATGAGTTTTTATTGAATCCAGGCGAAGCCGCTGGAGAGATGTCAGTAGATGTTCGTAGAGCCCACCAAATATATCAGGACGCGCCAACAACTTACTTCGCGGACTTCATCTTCCGACATGCATCCCTCTACATCTGTCTTGTTCAAGAATATCAGGAGACTTGCTCCCATCAGGCGCTGGAGGGCGTTAGCCAAACCGATGCTCATCAACGAAAAATCCGAAGAGGAGCGGGGAAATTGGCAGCCGTACCTCTTCGAGGAGTAGGCCTGCGAGTTCATCCCGGCAATCGTCAACTCGAAGACGGTCTGTTGCATCTACCACCCAGACAAGTGTGTCGGTCTTCTCAAAGTAGTTTTTCCAGTATGACCGAAGGGTTTTCTGTCCACCGACGTCCCCTGGCGGCAAAAAGTCAATCGAAATTCCTTGCGGAGTTCTGACTACTGGCTTCTCTCACATATGTTCAATCTATATCTGTGTCCGGAGTCAGTTATCAAGATGATTGAGATTGTTAGAGTCGAAATTACCCTTCAAAATCTATTGTTTTGATAATGAAGCCCAGTGTAGGGCTGACAGTTTTGACGTCTTCGTTCATAATCTGCTTCACAATCGTTGTCTTCCCAGCATTATCAAGACCACTAGCATCGATCGTGAGCATCCAGATGGGTCGTTTCTTGGTTGCTGAAAGACTTACAGCATCAGAATTCTCATCTCTTTGTCCTTTAAGCGAGCTTTTCTCAATATTGACAGCATTCTGGCCAAATGTGTCCTCTCGAATCTGTTGCGTTGGCTTAGTTGTAGTTGGATAAAACCCCTACATACAGGCGAAAAATAGAGATTCGGTCAGAATTTAGAGCTAATCCACCAGAGTGATCCAACAATTCTCTATAGTATTTAATTTATGTGGACAATGCTCATTAGTAGCTTACTCCTAAGTCGATTTTACAATACTCTCATTCTTGCTGTGCTTTTGTCAGTGTACAGATTCTTTCTAAGCTTTCTGCTACCCAGAGAAGCCCTATACTCCTTCTCATATCCTACCTCAGGTAGACCTAAGAAGCGACTGTGATAACCTTTAGGCCCAGCAAATGTACCAGGGCCCTCAAATAGTGCGATAAACCCATGTTATTCATAAAGCCACATCGTAATCTGTTAGCGTCTTTAGACGACTGCTTCTTTCACTTCAGTTTTCTATCACTAGTAACTCAGCAGGAAACATCCGTTTTCCTTTTACTTCATATTCACCTCAGCCCGTACTTGCCCTAACTATCGCTTGAGACCTATCTTCCCCCCATGCACCCTGCAAGGTGACTCATGATACTCACATCTTCTGGCCTGGTACATTCTCTTCTAGGTTATCCACACCATTCCTTGATGACTAGCCACCATGGACAGGCAAGCTCATCACGGTCAGCCGAATGCCCCAAGCAGGCGTAGGGCTAATAAATCGAAGACTCATTCCCAGCAAGATCCTGCCTCCCTTGAGTCTGGGTTAAAAGACACAAACAATCTACCCTCCACATTCGTAAAGGCTCGAGCTTTCAGAAAGAGAAGACCGAAACAGACAGAGTCTCCTAAGACTCAGCCTGACAACCACCGTCCGGCTCCTAGTGATTCGAATCCAAATCCAACGGACGGGCAGATCAATGTCCACTCTACAACACGCGACCTCGGAGCATCACAAAATGAGCCAGAGAGAGTGAATAACGCCGAGTCCTCAAAACCCCCTACTTGCATAGATTTGAGAATTCAGGGACCTTCTAATCTAACTTCTGACACCCTGCACCAGAGACAAAGTGCAAAAGACAAAGATAAGGAGGCCTCAGGCAGTTACAGGACACGCGCGCCGTTTGACTGGCGACCTAAGAAATTCCATAGCAGAGCACCAGCTTCCACCCACCTCTCGCACCAGCCTCACACCCCACAGAAAAGATCAAAACTGAAACAAGTCATCAACGCTGATACACCTCAGATATCACTCCCTTCACAAGGAAATACAAATATGGGTGAGTGACACTTGCTTCTTCTTTCTCAATTTGGCCAAAGACCGAGCTTCAGGAAGCTAACTAGCAGTCAGATCAAGTAGGAGACCGTCCAAACAAGACTGACAGCAATGGATCCGACGAAGTCGTCATGATTCGAGGGGCCAATCTCAAAGGTCGCAATCAAAGACAGCTTAGGTGCGGAAGCGCACGTCTGAACAGCGATTCCCGGTATAGGGCTCGTCCAAGAACAACACAGCAGACGCCGAGGCAGGATCCCAATGGGACACCAAACAGACCTGCTGCGGTGGAAAATCACGCTCTCCAGGACGATGTTGGCTGCCAGACCAAAGTTCCGTCCGGTGTGCAAATGACTGCAAACAAGGCTCCATCTCAAGAGGCTCTAGACGAGTTAAAGCGCCTTCAAGAAGAGATTGTTTTGCAAGCCCACCTGAATCGCTACAAAGACCATGAAGACGACACAGCAAATCCAGAGAGCCTTGCGAAGTGCAGGGACGGGCCGGGAACCGATCCAAAATCAGATGTCTACAAGAGCATCGCAAGGTGTAGGCTTGCAGCCAATCCAAATGCAAGTTCTTCCAACCCAAGCTCTATTCCAGAGGATAAGTTCGAAGGGGACGTGGATGATAGATACTTCGTCGATGAAATCAGGTCTCGTGTCCAGAAGGTTTACGCCGCGAAACTTGATGCTCAGCGTGAATCTTATCATAACAGCGTGTCCTTGTACCCAGCCATCGTTGACGGCCAGGTCTTTCTTTCGCGCTACCCAAGTGCGGAGCATGAACGTCTACAGAAAACTCCATCGAATGCTGAGCGCCAGATTGGCAAACAGGACGACAGTCATAAACCAGAGCACTGGTCCAAGGTTAAGTGTGAGGATAGGTGGGAGATGCGTCCTCGTGCTTGCTCTACCTATGAAGGCTTTCGTGATTGGTTCCGTCATTGGCTAGAGATGGAGACAGGAGATAGCTCCAACATTGACATCCACCACCAAGCCTTTTTTGACGGAACCGCGCATATGGATGGGATCAAATCTTTGTACATTCTTGACTTGGGAGACGTCCCAACTCGTTTGGACATGACAAGTGAAGCAACACGTCTCCATTATCATGAAACGGCCGAAGGCTACCGCCACAACCTTGCATTGCATATGAAAGCGGCAGAAGAGGAGGCGAGGGCGCGCAGAAAACAAGCTCGAGATGCCTTCATAGAAGGTCTGAAGGTCTGTTCTCCAAAGGATCCAAATAGTCCTAGAGCAAACGTCTATCTTCGCGGTGTTGAAGACGGTGACATACCAGGACTGCTCATGATCTTGAATTGGTACGGCCAAAAGTCAAATTTGAGTTCAAGCTTAGGAACACTTGACGAACAAGACGTGCATCAGCGAATTGAGGATAGCAGACGTGCGAAATTGCCGTTTATTGTGGCTGCAGAGCGCAGACGCGGACCATCCGCCAACGACACCCCGGAGAAAATCCTCGGATATGCTTTGGCTAGAGATTTCTTGGGGATTCAGACCGCAGGTCGATACACAGCGGAGCTAGAAATTTATATCAAACCGGACCACAAACGCCGAGGCATCGGAAAATGTCTCTTGGACAAACTGATTGAAGTTTGTGACGCTACTTACGTACCAAAAAGGGGCTTCTTCTACGATGCCGGTTGCGATGACAAGACTGGACTTTACCCAGGCGGATCCCGAACTCTCAAACGTCTTCTCTTTACCATCAGCTATTGCGTTCCTGAGAGATCCCAGATCAAGTGGCTCATCGACTGGCTTGAAAGGGATTACCACTTTGAACAGCAAGGCGTGCTCAAGGGGGCTCGAGTCAAGTTCGAGCGATTGTAAGTGAACCCTAACATTGATCACATGATTCCTAGGCTTACCAAAACGCTCTTATAGCCTTGATGTCAGCTACCTTATTCGCAACGCTGGTTATGACGATGGTGATGCATTTCATGCTTGAAGGGGATAAATTTTCCGGAGATTGTGTGGGCGTCTTCTCCTTCTTCTGCATATTGAGCTGTCCTTGCTTCTTCGTCATCTGATCTCAAGGGGATCTGTTTTTGTGTCGCCTTGTGTCTCGTGGGGCTTGGAATCCAGCAAGGTGAGGAGAACAGTGGTAGTTGAGGGAATGGGGATTTCATATCCCAAAGCGATGAACACTCGTCGCTTTCCGTGTCTCACAGCTACACTGCTCTCTCAATACACTGGGTCTCCTAATTGATTAGGGAAAAAAATGTCTCGTTGAGGATTGAAATCTTGTTGGCTTAGAATGTAGGTGGTAAGCTACCTAGATAATAATAGTAAGGGATTAGTTGGGTATACGGACCTTAGTAAGCCAAGGCTGATAAAACAGGCTTTCAGTAGAAAGCCAATCAGAGTTGCAAGACCACTTTGCGGATATTTTTTGCCGCTCTTGATTTTCACCGCCTTCGCAATTCGAACTTTTTTCTTTCCTCTCCGCTCAAGAGAAAGCAGATAGAGCCAGTAGTCCTGGGAGGAAAAACAGGGGTGGTTTGAGTTTCTCTACATCAGTTTCACTTGTTCTGTGTGAAGCCTTACAGTCTAGTACTTTCCGCTTTACACTTCGACGGCCAATCGACGGTCGGTCTACTAAGAAAATGGCTCCCAATTCCGCGATAAAAAAGCGGGCTGCCGCCAAAGACGACGATTTCGTGCTCACACTGTCGGACGACGAGAACGATGTCCTCGAGAACGGTGTTGAGGAAGACGGCGACAATGCCGAGGAAGACACTCTTTCCAGCTCCAGAAAACGCAAGCGAGAGGCGGCGGAGGCGCCGAAAGGCAAGAACAAGAAGCAGAAGCAATCAAAGAAAAGCAAGAAGGGCGAGAGCGCTGCTGGCGCAGTATCTGACGACCAATCCGGCGAGGAGGGCGAGGCTGAGGCTATGGATGCTGGTGAGGACGATGGGGCGTTGGACTCTGAGTTCGAGTTCGACGTTGGCGGCAATGCTAATACCGGTGTGATTGAGGGATTTGACGGGTGGGAAGCGCGGAATGGAGATGGGTCTGCGGATGCGGCCAAGAATGGGAATAAGAAAGCCGTGGATATTGATGATATCATTTCCAGGAGGAAAGCGAAGAAAGACGCCGAGCTGAAAAAGAAGCAGCAGAAGGAGAAAAAGAGGAGGGAGGAGGAGGAGGAGGAGGAGGAGGAGGAGGAGGGAGAGGACAGTGAAAATGAAGATGCCGACTCTGATGGCGGTATGTCTGTGGACTTCCAGGACGACGAATTGCTTGCTGCAGACGGATTTGGTATGGGTGCCGATGGTGCGGACGAGAGCGGCGATGATATGGAGAAAGACTCCAGTGACGGCGACGACTCGGATGAACAGGGCAGCGAGGACGAAGAGGATGATGATGATGACGATGCTGCTTCTGATAACGACTCAGTTGCGACTCCAGTACACCATCCGGATGACGAAGCAGCTTCTGATGATGAATCTGAAGCGGAGAGCGAGGTTGACGCTGAGGAAGCAGAGAAGCGCAAGGCTTTCTTCGCGCCTGAAGAAAAATCTACGGCCGCGTCGACTTCTAATCGGTCATTCCAGGACTTCAATCTATCTCGACCCATCCTCCGTGGTTTGGCATCTGTCAATTTCACCACGCCGACTCCCATCCAGCAAAAGACGATCCCCGTGGCTCTCCTCGGCAAAGACATCGTGGGTAGTGCTGTTACTGGCTCAGGAAAGACTGCTGCGTTCGTTGTTCCCATTCTCGAGCGTCTACTGTTCCGCCCTCGAAAAGTTCCCACCAGTCGTGTTGCTATCCTTATGCCCACTCGTGAATTGGCGGTTCAGTGTTACAATGTAGCTACAAAACTGGCTACTCATACTGATATTACCTTTTGTCAACTTGTCGGTGGTTTCAGTCTCCGCGAGCAGGAGAATATCTTGAAAAAGCGGCCTGATGTGATCATTGCTACTCCTGGCCGTTTTATCGACCACATGCGGAATTCCCCCAGCTTCACTGTCGACACACTGGAGATTTTGGTTCTCGATGAAGCTGATAGAATGTTGGAAGATGGTTTCGCTGACGAACTCAACGAAATCTTAACAACCATTCCCAAGTCGCGGCAAACAATGCTCTTTTCGGCTACAATGACAGACTCCGTCGACAAGCTCATTCGGGTTGGTCTCAACCGTCCGGTTCGCTTGATGGTCGACTCGAAGAAGAATACATCCATGAACCTGACCCAGGAGTTCGTCCGGTTACGGCCAGGAAGGGAGGACAAGCGTTTGGGATATCTCCTTTACCTGTGCAACGAAATCTACACTGGACGGGTTATCGTCTTCTTCCGGCAAAAGCGCGAGGCCCATCGGGTTCGCATTGTCTTTGGGCTATTGGGACTCAAAGCGGCAGAGCTTCATGGTAGCATGAGCCAAGAACAGGTATGTCAACTTATCAGCTAAGATGATTACTTGATGTGGGACTAAACAGTACTATAGCGTATCAAAAGTGTCGAGAACTTCCGAGAAGGCAAGGTAGCCTTCCTGCTTGCTACTGATTTGGCGTCCCGTGGTCTGGATATCAAGGGTGTCGAAACGGTTATCAACTACGAAGCGCCTCAGAACCACGAGATCTACCTGCATCGTGTTGGCCGAACAGCGCGTGCTGGCCGTTCCGGACGCGCATGCACCATTGCAGCTGAGCCGGACCGCAAGATCGTCAAGTCGGCCGTGAAGGCCGGCAAAGCGCAAGGGGCCAAGATTGTCAGCCGCGTCGTTGACCCAGCCGTTGCGGACGAATGGGCCGCTAAAGCCAAGGGCTTGGAAGATGAGATTGAGGAGGTGTTACAGGAGGAGAAGTTGGAGAAGCAGATGGCACAGGCGGAAATGCATCTGACCAAGGGAGAGAATATGATCAAGCACGAAGCCGAGATCATGTCGCGGCCGAAGCGCACATGGTTCGAGACTGAGCGTGACAAGCGTGCGGCGCGCAAATTAGGTGCTACCGAGCTCAACGGACCATCTCAGAAGGATAAAGTAAAGCTGAGCAACAAGGATAAGAAACGGCTTGACGATGCGCGCCAGCGTCACGAGGGGAATATCGGTTGGAAGAAGGGCAAGGCTGACCGAGAGGCTCCCAAGCAGGGTAAGAACAAGGAAAGCAAGAACAAAAGTGACAAGAAGAATAAGATCAAGATGAAGGGAAAGAAATGAGGAGGGGCTACATCAACTGTGTATAGAATTGCATTAGACCCTAATATAGGTTGTGAATATCTCTTCAAGGCCTTTGGTTCAGTGGCCTTTGGTACATCAGTCTTTACGTTTACATAGAGGCCTTATATATCCTCTCAACTACACCTGCCCTCTCACACGATGACTCAGATTGAAGCTATTCCAGACCTCGAATCTTAGGGCAAGACTGTTTCAACCAATCGTTCCACGTCCAGTCGACGGCTACTGGCGGTTAACCACGGTGGAGTATGGCCTCTTGGCCTGAGGCCCACGTAATTGTCTCCGATCATCGGCCCCCGCATGGTAGAACATTCTTCCAGCTTACTCGCACCGACAGCATCAGGAAACATACAATGGCTGGAAGAAAATCAAAACATTCGATCCGCTTCAGGAGTTCAGAACCTTCAACTATCAACACTCGCCGAACACACCTGCAACAATTCATACGCCAACATCAGTGGCCTCAGGACTTTTATATATCTCAGTACCCACTTTGCGAGGCACGCCCGAGTCCCTGTCCAATCAGAGCCACCAGTTAAGAATCCCCGCGTCCGCTGTCGGCCGATCGACGAAAAAATATGTGAAAAGCGGCGAGAGAGCGTCATGACCTATTATTATTGAACGATGGAGATATACTGACTCACTCCTGCTCCAACTCTGTCGTCCACATTTCTCCCTCTACTTAAATCGTTCTCTGGTCATAAATCCTTCGTTCAGTGTCATTCAGGCACATTTTATCTACCAATTGTCTGGTCCTCCCTTTCCTCCTCCTGGCCACAATATCCTCAAGTGACTTTCTCTACCTTCTTCCCCCACCCCCGCTGCGGACACCGCACGATACCGCCATCATGCCTATGTATGTCTTCTGCCCCTGGATCTCTGTTGTTTACTCCAACTCCTCAAATGACGATTCGTATTTAAGCTTATTTTACTGACTCATTTTGATAGGCTTAAAGACCCCTCGAAAAAATACAAGCCCTTCAAGCCTCTGCATCTCCCTAACCGCCAATGGCCCGATAAGGTTATCGACAAGCCGCCCCGCTGGCTGGCTACTGATCTGAGAGATGGCAACCAGAGTCTGCCTGATCCGATGGTGAGAATCTCGTTCAATTTTTCTGGACGCCTCTGACGTATAGATGTATATAGGATGGTGATCAGAAGTTCCGGTTCTTCAAGATGCTCGTCGACATCGGTTACAAGGAAATCGAAGTATCATTCCCCTCAGCATCGCAAACGGACTTTGATTTCACTCGACGCCTGGTAGAGACACCTGGCGTCGTTCCCGACGACGTCTGGCTCCAGGTTCTGTCTCCTTGCAGAGAAGAACTCATCCGTCGCACTGTCGATTCCCTCAAAGGCGCAAAGAAGGCTATCCTCCACATCTACCTGGCTACCAGCCCGTGTTTCCGCCGAATAGTTTTCGGTACCTCCCGCGAACAGAGTCTTGAGATCGCCGTAAGATGCGCAAAGTACGCCCGCTCGATAACCAAGGACGATCCAGAGATGGCTGGTACCCAGTGGCAGTTCGAGTTCTCTCCCGAAACCTTCTCGGACACCGAGCCTGAGTTTGCAGTCCAGATTTGCGAGGCCGTCAAGGCTGCTTGGGGCCCTACCGAAGAAAACCCCATAATTTTCAATCTGCCAGCAACAGTGGAGATGGCGACGCCAAACATATTCGCAGACCAGGTTGAGTATTTCTGCCGCAACATGACGGAGAGAGAAAAGTTTGTCGTCTCTGTCCATCCCCACAACGATCGTGGCT